TCTATTAATAACCACTTACCTTTCAGAATATAGGGAGATTGAGCCACATGTTCATCTCCATAAAGGACGTCTATCTTGAGTCCTTCGTTGACAGTATCATATAGTCTATACCTCATCAAAAATGTTCCATCATTCCTATCCAACGGTTTAGGAACCTGAATCCGGACTAACTCCTTAGAAGAAAGAGATTTGACTACTACTCTGAACGATGTTTGACCTGGAAGAAAAACAAATACAGAGATAACTTTACCACTTAATGATTATTATGTCTCAATTATTGGCCAATGGTCTCTAGAATGAAGTTGTTTTCCCCTTTGGTATTGATGGAAAGCAAGAATGATTTCAACTTGCAAGATCCTTGAGGCCAGAGCTATAGGTCTGGCTCAGGTCTTTAAGTCAATGATCTGATTTAACATTTGGATCATGAGTCATTCACAATAAAGATTTGTTGAATGAACAAAATGGATTAAAGAAGCAAAGAAGAATGTAACTTTCTGCCTATTTGATCTTTTTTTTCTCCTTTGAGTAACATTGAAGATTTGGTAGCTGGAAATCTACAAACTCTAAGAATGACAAGACCCCTATAGTAATTCAACTTTCTCCTTGTAAAATATGAAAAATGTTTTTTATATACCATCTTGATATCTAATTATCCTAATTAACTCCATCCCGACCCAGAGAGTCCTGGGCTCCCCCCAACAGGAGCCCACTTCCTGAAGGCAAGTGGAAATACTCAGCGGGACCCACAGGGGAAGAGACACCACCAACGCATCCTGATTACCTCTTGATGAAAGCTGGTGCCAGCGGGTGGGAGCCCTAAACAGGTAAATTAGGAAATCCTCTGTCAACAACTTGGAACCAGCCAGACCAGTCAAAGGGAGCTGCCACAATGCTTCCTTAAGAGGGTAGCCTGGTTCAGGTAGCCACACCTGTAATCCTAGCTACTCAGGAAGCTGAGCTCCTGAGGGGAGGTTTGAAGCCAGCCAGGGCAGGAAAGTCCATGACACTCTTATTTCTAATTCACCACCAAAACAACAACAACAACAAACCCGGAAGTGGAGCTGTGGTTCTAGTGGATACAGTGGTAGCCTGGAGCCAAACAAAGCTCAAGGGACAGCCAGTGCCCAGGCCGTGAGTTCAAGTCCCAGTACTGACAGGGACACACAGACACAAATAAAGCTCAGGGACAGCGCCCAAGCTCTGAGTTCAAGCCCCGGTACCGACACACACTTCTAATAATACTATTGTTTGGACCCGGGAGGAGGTCCTTCACCCTTTACAGGGGGGAGAAAAGCCAGATCTCCCGTGATCTGTTATAATCTCAGGAAGAAAAGAAAGCGTGCCCCGCAAAACGGCCTGGCCCGTGCGGGGCCGGGTGTCAGGGCTGCCGGGCCGGGCAGTGCAGCGCCACGCGATTCCCGGCCCGGTGAGTCGGTG